TCTTTTCTTTTGAGCTTCACCGATAAGGGCGACGTCAGCCGACTTTCCTTTCGACGAAGCCTTCTTCTTCGATAGATATTTCCTATGTTCAAAGCTCGTCATGTCAACTGCAAGAAGAACAACTGATTAGAAAGCAACTCTAACAACAAGAGAGAAATATAATACAACCCAGCATTGCCGGGATTACATACCAAGCTCTCGGAGAATGTCATCTCCAAACTTATCTATTATACGACTTAGGTCAAGAATGCCGAAGTCCTCAACATAAGCCATCATAACTAAGAAGCCAAGTCACTTTTCATCAGAGAGCAAAGAATCACGGGTCGTATAATCTTTAGGACGCCGGAGGTAATGATTTTGATTCCAATAAAGCTCAAACTGAGCTGACAAATGCCCACCATCAAGTATCTCAGCAGCGAACCAAGGATGGCAACCAAGATGGACTACCACCTTAAAATAGTGGTCCTTAAAGCCCTTAAAGGATTGGGTGAAAGGTACAAAGATACCGCGATCAAACGAGCTTCGAAGAGTGACCCAACCTTTCTTTTCCTTAGCCTCGGCCCCAGACTGAGATGCATATACATTAAACAGGAAGAAGAAGAGAGAAATCGTGCATGGAAGGTTGAGATAGCTGCACACTTGCTCGAAACCTCGAATAAAGGCCTATGAGTTCAGATGAAGTTGCGTAGGAGCAACGCGAAGTCTATGTAGCACGACCATTTGAAAGTCGGAAAGGGGGAATCAGGTTCCTACCTTAGTGAAAAAATATCTTTGGAAGATGTTTTCACTTTTGCCTAGTCATTAGCTAAAACACTAGAGCCGGAATGCAAGTCATATCTCTTACGATTTAAAATAGTTTTTTTAATGTACTAACACATCACTGAGATATATTAAGCGTAATGTATGTTACGATTCTATCATTCGTAATCATTATTAATGCTATAATCATAACAAATTAAGGCTATAATCATAGCAATACCAAATTAGGCACACAATAAGGTTGGTCGATCAAAGTATCCTAAATTTTTAAAAAATTCACCAATTTAACATGACGAGGAAATCAATTACCAATTCACCATACTTTTACCATGGTTGATTGTGTGGATTCTATAAAAATTTAACTGTAACTTTACACATGACATTATGCTATTAGTTCTTGATTATTTTCTCAAGTAAATATTGAACATAAGTCATTAAATTTATCTAATTAAAACAGAATTAGTATTGAATTGGAAATTAGTATTAGATTTATCAAGTCAAACAATATTTTAAATCACAAATAAGATTTGTGTGGTGCAATCTTTTTGTGTTGCATGAGTACTTACCACTAAACAAAAAAAGCTATAGCTTCTAATCCACACAACTCTCACTATTTAATGTAGTTAGCCCAATCGTCATGATTCAATCTCACTTAAACCTACACCAAGCTCTGCCAAGGAAGGCAAGATATTAGCTTCATCAACATTTTGTAATATTTAAAAATTCAAAATGTCAAATTTATTATTAATATGCCAATTTGACAATTGATTTTTTTTTGGTTCGTCAACAAAATTCAGTTACTTAATTTTTTTTTGGCAAATTGAGAAAAAAAAAACCAAAAACCATATTGTCATTATTGAAAATAAATTTGATATTTTTGAATTCACAATGATCTGAAAATATAACCATCTAAAATAATTTAGTTTTTAATTATTATTTGATATTAATTAGTTTAATATCATATTTTAATGTAGTAATAAAATAATAATACTAAATTAATACAATTTATGTGGATATAAAAAGATGGGAAGAATAAGTGAAAATGGTGATGGACAATCAGAATTCTGCCACGCCCAAAATTTTCATTCATTTTTTCCAAATCTGCTCTCTCTATATAAATTGAATTGATTTGATATTATTATTACGTTATTAAATTAATTAAGGTCAATAAAAATTAAAAAGGTAAATAATTTTAATTTATGTAGTGATATTTCAAAATCTCTGCGAACTCTTAAATGTAATGTCAATAATGATAATATAATTATTGTTTTTCTTTTTATTTTCTATTTGTCAATAAAATAAAATAAAATGGTTTGAAATTCTCAAAACCCAAATTATGAAATTTCTTTTCTCTCATTTCACACCTCAAAACACATCATTAATATTGGGAGAGAGGTTTTACAAACGGGAAAAAATCATTAAGCTGTAATTATTAATAACGTTTTAAATATTTAAAATTTGAAAAAATTGCGCCAAATAAATTTAAGTTACCATTATACATAACGTTTGTAAGTTTTTAAGCTTCGAAAAAATTGCATCAATAAATGAAAATTATATTATTATTTTAATCATTTAATTTAATAAATTTAATGTTACTATTTAATTTAAAATGTTTTTTTAATTTAATGGTAATTTGATCAAATTAATATAGTCTACTCGATATTTATTCGAATAAATAACCTAATATGAATAAAATCATACCATATATAAAGTTAAAATTTCTAGCAGGATCTACATGGTCAACTTCAATTAAAATGTGCTAAATTAATAATTAGTTTCTAACATGTGTTTAATTGATATATATATATATATATATATATATATATATATATATATATATATATATATATATATATATATATATATATATATATATATATATAAGATAGCACCACCTCTCGGACAATCAACAATGAATCCATGATACGAGACAGAATTTCAATATTCCTTTAATAATATGATTAAAAAAATGCTATTACTTGTCGCGCAATGGCATGTTTGGTGAATAGTATAGAATAATGTATGATAATATAAAATTTGATAATATAAGGTCTGATTGTATAAGATTTAATTGAATTTTAATACTATCCAGCGTTTGACACGGTATTGTATAAAATAATATATTGTATAAGATAATTATATAGTATTTGGTAATGCACTGTATAATACTATATAGGATAAAAATAAATATTTTAATAAAAATATCCTTTAATAAAGAATTTATATAATTCTTCAAAAAATGTCAAATGATATTAATTTTTATAAAAATTTATTGATCAGTATGTCCAAAAGATAAATTATTTTTTATAAAAATAAAAATATTCAATATTTAAAAATTAATGTATTGAAAAATTAATTTTTATTTTAATATATTAATATTAAAATAATATATTAATTTTTGAGAATTACACTGGTCAATGATGTTAATACACCAACCTCTTATCAGGCCTTATCCCTCCCCCTTAGGCCGAAGTAAGTTATACATCGTTTTGATGTATTAAGAGATCCTGCTGTATAAGCTTATACTATACGATGGTCACACCAAACAATTGAAAATGTCATAATGTATAGTATAAGTTTATACTATCAAACCTTATACGTCACACCAAACATGCCCTAAAAGATCATCATCTCAACAACATTAAGGATTTCATACCATTAAAAAATAAATTATTGTTTTACAAGCCAGCAAGCAAAATAATAATTAATAATTGACAGATGCCGGCTTTGCTGACAAAATGGTATTTGTTTTAGGGATGTTTGATTCAGGAGAATTTTTTTTTCTAGGGAAATAGAATTAGTAGGAATATAGTGGGAAAGTGATTTTGGTAGAAAAATGTAAAAAAAGTTGTTTGGTTCGCCAAAAGTTTACCAAGAAAATTGAGTTAAATTTTTTGAGTGTATGTTTAATTGAAGATAGAATATAGATGGAAAAATTATTTGAAAATACTAAAATACCCTCTCTCTTTTTTTTACTGTTTTTTAAAGTGAGTTACCATTGTGTGTACATAGTGCATTGTGTGATGAGTAATTGTGTCATTGTATTGTATCACTTTAATAACTTCTCCAGTTTTTAAGTGAATATCACCTTTCCAATTACTTTCTTCAACAGTGAAATTGTTGTTTTTTAACATGCAAACCGATTTGCTTAGGGAACTGCCATTGATGGGTAACAATCATGAAATCAGTGAACCAAATTTGGACAACCGACTATCTAAGAATCACTTTGATAGGAAACAATGACAAACTCCTTAACCAAACACCACCTAAGTATTATATAGTTATTCTCTTATTGCAAAAAAAGCAAATTTCTGTAGCAATATTAGGATATGATTTTTGTATGTTGACGTACTATTTTTTTTAAAAAAGCAAATGAGACCTATTTTCTTGTATCTGTTATATCCAATAAAATTTTAGAATCACTGCAAAGATGCAAAGCCCTTAGGGATCGTTTGGTAGAGGAGAATTTTTTTTTATTCGGGAATCTCAATTTTTAAAAATATAAGTTTTACATTTAGTTTACGATAATATTTAAAAAATTAAAAAATTAGAAAAATTCAATTTTCTGAGAATCTCCAATCCGACGTACCAAACGGCCCTTAGTTTTAAATATTGTGAAATGTTTGAAACATTTCTACATTGAGATTTGAGAAAGCATTTTGGATGCTGCAGATGTATCTAGAACTTTCATTAAAAATTTAACACTTGAAATTAATTTATTTTTCACTTTTTTTCTTACACACATCACAAAAATATTTCATTTTGATTGACCGATCATACTAAATCAGTAATGTAATGGGTATATCATAAATATTTCGCTATATTGAATCTAATTCTTATAATATTGCATAAAAGTTATTCGTAGGGGGGTTATACTTATTATTTTATAATTTTTAATTGATTTTATCTAATAATAAAAAATATTATAAGATCTTGTAAGATAATAATGATAAAAGAGAATATGAAAGAAGGAAGGGACAATATGGTAATTGAGTGAAAGTGAGATAATATAGCGAAAAGTCAACAAGTCAACTAGAGTAACTCCTAAAGACCAAACCCGCTTAGTGGGGTGTTGCATCATATCATGTCTTCTCTCTCCCAGCGCATGATTGAAGACCCCAACCTCCCCTTAATGACGTGGCACTTTCTCATTTGTTCATTCTCTCTCGTCGGGATTCATACCAACACTACAATAAACAATAGTACAATATCACTCTCTCTCTCTCTCTTTCTCTCTCTTCTGTTCTGTCTCTCACTCACACACACCCGAATGTGACTTTTCTTTTCTCTCTCTCTCTCTCTCTCTGTTCCCTTTTCTCTCTGCGAAATTCCCCAATTTTCTCAAATATCCTATCTCTTTCTGCTCCCGAAATTGTCACACACTTCATCAGCAATGCATGATCCTCTCCGCGAACGCGGTTTCGATCTTTAATTTTTGCAATCTTTTTACTGTTTAATATATATATATATATTTTGGCCGGCTAAGTCTGCAGCTGATTCTGAGAGTTGAAAATGCTGGAAGCAATGGAAAGTTCCGTCAATGGTGGCTTCTCTCAGTTGCAGAGCTGTGGAGATAGCAGCGAAGAGGAACTATCTGTGCTTCCTCGTCACACAAAGGTGGTCGTAACTGGAAATAACCGCACCAAATCCGTGCTCGTTGGTCTCCAAGGTGTTGTGAAAAAGGCTGTTGGCCTAGGCGGGTGGCATTGGCTGGTAACTTTCTTCACCAATTTGGGTTTTCGACAAAAAAAATCGGATACTTGTATTGGGTATTCTTTGATTCTAATTTTGGATTCCAAATGTGGTTTTCTTACTTTTTTTTTTTTTTTTTTTACATTATTATTGTATTGTAAACTCAATGTTTGAGGTGTTTATAGAAAATGATTTAGAGTATTGTTAGTCTATTTGGTTTTCTTTTTTACTCAATTGCTATTTTGTATTCAATCTTTTCATTTTGTTTATCAAATATATTTTTCGAAACCCTTATTTTGATGTAACTGATGTCCGGACAAACACGAAAATTCTTATCCGAATCATTGTTGGCACATCACCGAATTAAGATTTTCCAAACATTGGGTTTCTAAGTTTTCTAATTTGAATCGAGCTTATTCCTTTATTTAAAATTTGAAATTCGCTTCACAATTTTCTATCACTACTTGCGGGTAGCCATTTTATATGTTTCTTTGTCCATGGATCTGGTGTTTTAGGATGTCCTCGATAACGACCGGTTGTTTGTTGTGTCTTTTGTTTGATTTTATTGATCGAAGGAGTTCAATTTATGATCTTTGCTTAGGTTTTTGGTATTGGTAATTCTTAAATGGATGTTAATTTTTTTTGTTCAATGAGATCCTTGTGCAGAAGTGAGTGATTTACTTACTTTAGGCAGCCGTTAATATTTTAATGATCTTTGCTAGAGGGATTTTTTCAGACTGGCGTTAATTTTTGCCCTTCGCTACATGTATGCTCTGATTATGACTCTTTCTTGTTTCTGGGAAAAACTACGAAATAAGTGTATGTACTATTATATCCTGAATTCAGAAGTTCTTCATATCGGACTTTGATCTGAATCAATGTTGCTTTTACTCTTATTTGAGTTCTGAAACATAAATATATTTTTTGGTGATGGAAATAATTTCATCTATAGTTGTGCTTGTTGTTCAGCATATCATTCCTTTTATTCCTTGGATTATTTAAAAAAGCACTTGTTGTAGCCTGGATGATTATTTTACATTGTGTTTGGTTCAAAAAAGTGCAGGTTCTTACCAATGGTATTGAAGTGAAGCTGCAGAGGAATGCTCTTAGTGTGATTGAAGCACCCACTGGGAATGAGGAAGATGATGACCTTGAATTTGAACATGTGCAGTGGAATGGATCAGATATGGGTGAGTTTCAATTTGAGAAGTTACTGTTCTTTCCAAATATCTTTTTCATTTACATTTAGGAAATTATGTGTGGATTTATAATTTATAAATGTATTGTGGTTGGTAACTGTCCTGCATGTTAACTGATACTACAGTTATGATTTGTAGCTTATAACAAGTTTTTCATTTTGTCTTCTCCTTCGATAATATTTATTGGTTTTGTTATAATTCCTACTTGCACACCCAGCACTGAAGATAGGGGACGATCAACAATACTGTATATTTAGTTAATTATTTTCTTGGGCTTCCATATCTGTAACTGTGACTTTGGAAAGTGTTAGATGGAAACATTGGATCCAGTTGTGTAATTGTTTCTTTCCCTTTTGCTTTTTTTTTTTTTAATTGTCTTGCTTCTTAATATATTGGCCCCACCACTACTTCTGATTTTGTTTGTATTGTCTTTGATTTGTCAGCATCGGATGACACACAAAAGTCTCACAAATCGAGGCACAGGATGCATAGATCATTGGGATCATCCCACAAATCGAGCAGGTCCTTCTCTGGTGATTCACACTCTAAGGGATCCATTTCTATGCCTCATGGTTGGACGGTATATTAACTATACTGTTTTTTTCCTCAATAGTTGATTATGCTACTCTATTACATGATAGAGAATTATTTGTTGATAGTTTAACTATTAAAATTACGTTTAAATATTTTATGTAGAAGGTTGACTTGAGCAAATTGGAGATGGCTGCATTGTGGAGATATTGGCGACACTTCAATCTGGTAAATAATTTCCTGCAGTCTCCGGGGAAAGATGCTTATGGCAGTGCAGTGGGTTCCCCCTTTTTTTGACTTCTAAAATGGATTTACAGGTGGATGCTGTCCCAAACCCATCAAAAGAACAGCTAGTAGATGTTGTTCAGAGGCACTTCATGTCTCAGGTACCTATAAATTAATGATTGCATTTGCATCCTTGTTTCGTTTTGCTAGTAATTGTTCCAAAATTCTGTGGTTTCTGAAAGGCTGGGATACTAATGAACTTTGTGGTTACAAACTCTCAACGAATAAACAAATTTATGAGATTCTCCTTAATATAGTGTTTTCGAAATAGATTACTCTTTGATAGTTCCAGGCAATGTGGCTGTGTTGCAAGCATGCCAGTAAGCATTTTCTTGAAATATGAATACCGGCATACTGGAGAGCTTCCAGATGTTTGATGTAGGACTTAGACAAGTATTTTGCTGATATGAAAATCTGAAATTATGTTTTTCTTTATTGTGAAGCAAATGGACGAGTTGCAGGTGATTGTGGGATTTGTCAAAGCTGCAAAGAGGCTCAAGACAGTGTGCAAATGATGGAGTGGAGTGAAATGATGAAAAATTATAAGTTATATCGTCTTTGCTAACAGAGATAATGGCGTCTAATTTGAATATCCCCTTCCCCTAGTACTGTGTAACATACTTAACGATGGTCTGTATCCTTTGGATCTCAATTAGTAGTAGGTTAGCTATATGAGGTTATAGAGGCTCTTACTCTTTTGTAGCCACCTAGTTATGTAGATATGTGACCTCGCTTCCGTTTCTAAGATTGATTAAATGTACCGCTGACCTGGGAAGTGGGTTTCCTGAGACTTGAATGTACATATCTCGTTCCTCAAACTTCAATTTTTGTCATGAATTCATTGTTTTGCGGGGTCAGGTGTTACCGCAACACTTTTGATGAGTGGAGTGGTGATTAATCGAACTTAAGGTAGACAATTAAAAAAGATCCATAACTAGTTGATTTAAAAAAAAAATGAATAAACGATTTAATTACACTTTTTTGAAGAAATTAGCAGTTTCTCATGTCAGGATGAAATTCGCTAGTAAGTAAATGTTTCTCTCTCGTCAAACAAATACATTGTCGGGAACAACCATTGTCTTTGTTAATGTTTTTGTCGTATTCACTATTCATTCTAATGTTCAACCAACGGGGGAAAATAAATATAGTGACCAGCATGTGATGTCCAAATCAAATAGTACAAGATTCTCTGTGATTTACAATTATAATTTTCAACATTAAACCGCACTGCCAGCTGTGACCAACTGCATAGCCATATGCTACTTTACCAAATGTTTCAATCAATTTCAAATTCAAACAGTCAAATTGCAATGGTAAACAGAGACACCATGTTGAAACTTGAGCTTTCTATATATAGAGAGTGAGAGAGAGGGGTAGGGGGAGGACAGGGCACGCTCGTTTAATAAAAATAGTAATAGTTTACTTGCAAATACAGTTGTAGTTTGAATTATTGTCCGAGGCTATGACAAATATTCAGTAGCTATTTATAAAAGGTTGAGGAAGATCCAACTCCAAGGACATGAAATGAAAGCTAAAAAATTGGAGACAAAGCGAGATGCACATGTAGAAAAAATTAAAATAAAAAAGGAAAGCTATTAATTCTGGTTTTATTTTGTGGTGAGAGATAGCGCAACGCAACAGTGCTAATTCATCTGGTTGGAGTGTATTAGTGTTGAGTGCGATACACTCTTGTTTGTTAACAAAAATATCCAACCCCGTGGGTCACCCTCGTGATGTCCATGTGAGTCAAAATCAGATGGATTTTGGGATCAAAACGGGTCCCAGTAACATCTGCATTGCCATATATTTGTTTGAACATGTAGAATCCTCGAAGACACAATGGGAAAATAAAAATAAAAATATAAGCTTGAATGTTTGATTTAAAATCTGATTTATTATTAGTATGAAAATATACATTGCTAACCAATAATAGTTTTTTATACACATTGTCATACTAACTATTTTATGACTAAATCAAATTTCAATAAACAATACTATATACAATTAAGCGATATTGAATTTTTTTAAACAAGTAATAAATTACATCTTTATCACATCACATATTGAAAGGGTTACATTACAACCTATCAGATTCTGGTATAGAGAATATGTGTAGACTATAGAGTCTATAGTCAGAGAGCCTATGATAGGTTATAGTCAGTTCCGTTAAGGTAGGGTCGTTCTAGTTGAATTTTTTTTTAAGTGGTTTATTTTTAAAATAATAAATAAGAATTTGGTTATTTTAAATTTCAATACAATAGAAATATAATAGGGACATAATTCTTTAATATTGATATCAAATTAAAAAATTTGACATCAAATTATAATTATTAATATTTGTCAATCTGACAGTTATACTTATTGACGACAGTACCTAAGAAACCTATTTCAATATAATATAGGTCAAATTATTTACTTTCAAAACAAATAACGAAATGACATTTCATGCAATTTTCAATCTTTTAATTTGCATTTTTTAATAAAATAATTTCCAAGATTTATGTGATCTATGGGCTCTTAAAAGATATAAACGATCAAGATCCTTAACTTTTATGATTGCATTCTCCATTCTCATTAGTCATTGCAAGTCAGGAATGCTTATAGCTCGTTAGGTCTGCTACAACTATCAGTACTCAGTAGTCAAATAACGACGACAAAGTTGCCGAACAAATTATTACACATTTACACTACTTTTTCCTTTTTTTTTTTTTTTATATTAAAAGGAGTATATCTTTGCTTCTAAATTGACTTATGTCATTGGTAATTGTTTCAGTCATCCTTGTATAACAATTATCAATATTTCACCGTCTTTTTAAATTATTTATCAAAATGTCATGCAGCGAAACATTTTCCTTAGTATACTAGGTTATTTTATTCCAAGGAAAAGTTAAAAAAAAACCCTTATAATTTTATTCAAAATCACTTGCCCCTTGTGATTTTTTTAAAATCAATTACACCTCTATGGTTTTATTTAAAATCACTTACCCCTTATGATCTTTTTGAAAATAATTACACCTCTATGATTTTTTCCATCCAACTCTATTCTTAACACTGTTATACATTTGATTGATATCTCCATTTTGGCCAGCTTAAAAGCATCTCCTATTTCAGTTAAGCATCCCATTAGAAATGCTAGAATCTCTGAAAAAGCAAGGAGGCGAAATGTACAATGTAAGTCATATTTTCAACCGGTGTAATTCGATTGATTATATTATGTTTGATACAATGTTTGGTCCTTATAGATTGATTGTGCTTCCTCATAATGCGCTGATGTACGTTAAACAAGGTCACAATGATTAAAGATCCAAAGTGTTTGCTAATTTCCTTTTACTTGTAGTGGTACTGGTGCTTTTCCCAGCCATCTGATTAATAGTTATATATAATGGGTCACTGAATTCAACCTGTTATTTTTCTCATTTGATGACAGAAAGAAAGGAAAAGAAGAATTTGCAAAACAATGGCAGCAATTAATTTCAAGGTTCGAATGCAACTCTGTGCATGACAAAGGATAAGAATTTGAATTATCAAAATCAACGTTGCCTGATAGAAGCTTGATTTTAATTTGCGGAATCTCCTTTCCCTTTATTCCTACAAAGGACTTTTTTTTAGATGAAGCATTTTTTCTTGAGTGTGAAAGATCATACAACACAAATTCTGATATAGAATATATTTATTCCATTATAATTACATTATTAGCCTTCTAGTTTATTTAACTAATAGTCAGTTAGTTACTGAGTTAGTTTTTGGTTAGTTTGGTTTGCATCTAACCACACGGTTCACTTTCTGTCTTTTCTGTTTTAGTAGCTAGATGATATATATATATCATATTGGTAACAGGCTACGGTTACTGTTCATTATTATTGTTTTCTTTCTTTGATAATGAAAGTACCTTTCCATTTATCATGTTCCAAGATGGTATCAGAGCTCTTTGAAGAGCTCTGATGTACGCCATTTTTGTTGCTTCGATCCTTCGATCTAGTTCGAATCCTTTTTCTTCTTATTTCACTATTCTTCCTTTGAAGTTAGTGAATCAAGGTGTTCAATCAACCTTTGTGCATGGCGAATCAGAGCTCTTCACCTACTTTGGATCGGGTTATCAATCAACCTGAGATTCAAGAAAATGCTTCCGTTGCTGTAAATCAGAATTCTTCGAGTCGAAATGTTGAGAATCGAAGTGGTGCAAACCGAAACCTAACACCAGATTTTTCAGATCCAGGAAATCCCTATTTTCTTCATCCTAATGAAAATCCGTCGCTTATACTTGTTTCTACACCTATGAACGGGAAGAACTACCATGGATGGGCCAGAGCTATGACTATGGCTTTAATTTCTAAAAACAAGTTTTCCTTTGTGAATGGTTCGATCTCTGTTCCTGAATCTTCAGATCAGAGTTATGCTGCTTGGGAGAGATGTAACACCATGGTACTGTCATGGTTACATCGATCCATAAATGATTCCATCTCTCAGTCGATTCTGTGGATGGATAGGGCTGTTGATGTTTGGAAGGACCTCAAGGAGAGGTTTTCACAGTCAGATATCTTTAGGATTTCTGATCTACAGGATGAAATCTTTCGTCTTCATCAAGGAGACAAGTCTATATCGGATTATTATACTCAACTCAAGATCCTTTGGGAAGAGTTGGAGAATTTACAGCCAACACCTTCTTGTAAGTGTGTTAGGCCTTGTTGCACGATTGCATCTCAAGTAAGGAGTATCAAGGACAGGGATTATTCAATTAGGTTCCTCAAGGGTCTCAATGAGCAGTTTTCTCATGTGAGATCCCAAGTTATGCTCATGGATCCTCTTCCATCAATAAATCGGGTGTTCTCTTTGGTTACTCAGCAGGAAAGGCAAATGTATCTTGAAGGCTTAATGCCTAATTCCATGGATGGGATGTCCAAAGCATTTTTCAATGCTTCTGCAGAACATATGACTGCAAGAGGTGGCTGCTTCAATACTAGAGGGAGAGGACGTGGCTATAACTGTGGGCGTGGAAGATCAACCCCTAGATTATGCACACATTGTGGAAAAACTAATCACACTGTTGACACATGCTTTGAGAAGCATGGATATCCACCAGGATACAAGGTTAAAACCAGTGGATATAGAGCTGCTAATGCTGCTCATTCTTCAATCCAGGATTCCTTGAATACTTTTGGTGACAGTCATGATATTGCCTCACAACAGGATAGTAAGGAGAATTTTACAAGGACTCAGTATGACACTATACTTGAGATGATTCAGCAGTCTATGCAGCAGCAGTCTATGACTCAAGCTTCACAGCAGCTACAACCTAGTTTGCCTCATGTGAGTAACATGGTGCGAGGAAGAGCACTAAATGCTGAAAACAAGACCACTAATGTTGAAACAACCAACATTTCTTCAGGTAATGATTGCATACAGTGGATCCTAGACACAGGAGCCACTGATCATATAACTCACTCACTCACAAGCCTTTCCTCAATACAAAAGATTGCACCAGTAGCTATTTCCCTACCCAATGGTAGTCAGGTCCATTCCTATTACTCAGGAATTGTGAATTTTTCAGATACACTTGTTTTGACTAATGTCTTATTTGTTGAAGATTTTAATGTGAATCTCATATCTGTGACCAAACTGGCACAAGAGTCTAATTGTTGTGTGATTTTTCAGCAACAAGTATGCACCATCCAACACCTACCTACCATGGAGATGATTGGTTCATCTAGGCTCAAGGGAGGACTATACCTTCTCACTCAAGACTGTGACCAGAAGAGTCAATCTTTAGATCCACATACAAGTTTTTCAAATACCATTTCTGCTCATACTTCTTTTCCTGT